TAGTTATTACTTCGAACTATGATCAAAGTTAGGGCCCATCTGTCCAACACTTCCTAAAAAGCATCTATCTCAGCTTCAGTTCTCAGTTGCTTACATTCTTACCCAATAGCGTTAATGTGTGTATGAAACATAATGATTTTATCAAAGCGATATATAATTTCTTTATCACAAATTGAAATATATCAATTTAAAATTCCTGGGGGAAAAAACTGCTCTGTGATATCACAACAGATCAATTTTCTTAGGTTACTTTTTCATGACACAGTTTTCACTACCAACTATCTATCTATTTGTTAGTGTAAAATATTGCACTTAAGAAATCATCAGGTTCACAAATCAGTGTAGCAGAAAAAAATTGTTTGGAAGTAAAACCAAACTCCTAAGAAGTAGCTTACTACCTTAAGTGAAATATATATCTAGACCTTAATAAAGGTACAGTATATTTAATAAAAAAAACTATAAAGAAATATGAAGAAACATAAATAACATCACATTATTTTATTTTTTTGGCATCCCAAAATAAATGAATTAAAATGTTTTAAATAATTTATTACAGTTCACAAAGACTTTAGTATATATTTCTTAGCTCATTATTTTAACATTACATTAAAAATAAAATTTTTTCGAATGGCAACAGCTAATATTAATAATGCTGATAGTAATAGATTTATAAAAGATAAATTATTATCGCTGTATTTTATTGATCGTATGTATATCTATATATCTGCGACCCTCAAACTTATTCAGTGATTTGTACTGGCCCGCGATATTATCTGTTCTAGACATCCCTGATCTAAACTATCAATTTCTGCAAAATATCTGATACTCGCCTCTCGAAGTCAATTTTATAGGTGTAGTTACTAATGTTGTTAATGTCGTTAATAATCAATTATTGTTTCTTACAAATACAAAATAATATATACCTACAATCAAAATTTGGGCAAACTTTCTTCAATATAATTTATGTACCTTAAATCTTAATCATTAACAGTACAATTTTCACTGAAATTATTACTCAGTTGACTGTTATCTTCCATGCTTATACAGTCGTTTGCTTCATGATTGACAGCTTGGAAACCCTTTTTTGGTAGACTTGGCATAAATATATGCAATTGCTTTTTGGCATCATGATAACGCTTGTGAAAATTGGTTTTACCCAAATCATCGCTTACAAGGTCATTGCGCTTGTGACGTCCACCGCCTGCACTTGTTTGGCCTATTTTGTGTGCTGAATTATTATAGAGTCGTGCTGAAGCTAACGTGCCGGCTAAACGCCGAGTTGCACCAGCGCTGGAAGATAATTCGCAAAGATCTATGTTTCGTGCTGGTCTATTCAGTCGGACGGGCACACCTTCCCTATTAAATATTATTGTTATATGTTTTACAGATTCTGCACGTTTTCGTTCTTCCACTGGTTCCACTGGCTTTTTACGTACTCTTATATTTGGCATAGTTTGGTTTATATTTAAATTGTGTGCACTATTACAAGCGAATGAGTTCTTACGTCTAGGTTTTGTATTCTTTTGAGGCATTGTGTCCATTTCATGAGTTTCTTTCTCGGTTTTTAAAATATTCGTTTTACCTGCCAAGTCTAACCAATTTAAAACACGTTCAGCAAGACGCTCATCTGCATTTGAGGAAATATTAGTTAAAGTACTTTGTATATCCTGTAGAGAACTGCGTCTGGAATAATATGTATTCTCATGGAAATCACGTTTATATAAGTTTTCGAATTCGATAGGTTTTTTGCTGCAGAATGATGAACGTCTCGTACGTCTAGTAAGTTTCTGATGCTGTTGCTTTATTTGCGATTGCATTGATTGCTGATGTGGTTCGACTCTAGCCTGAGCTATTAATAATAAATTATCTACTGAGGTATTGGCTGTATCACTTTCAGTAAAATCCCCGCAAATATTGTGTTCAAAACTTTCTAAAAAAATTTTTTTGTAATACTTTCAAATATCTTTTAATTTAACAATACGAACCTCGACGACTGTTGCAAAGTAATGTCTCCGTTTTAAATCGTTGCCTCCTTATCTGCCGCGGTTCATAATCCAAAATAAAATGCCTGTAGCTGCGTCCCGTTTCCGTAGATTCTAGCCAAACAGAGCGTACGAACAGCGGACGACTTGCTGACTCCCAAATGGTTGTGCTTTTCATATTAGCTAACTTTCTCTGCAATTATGCTTGTGTTCCAGACATTTGCATGTTAATCAGCTCACAATGCTATTATATTAGAGTATAAAAAGTAATTAAAACATACTGTTTTAATGACAAAATCCCCAGTTTTTAACTGTACTGATGTCGCTTGTTACAATGTGACTAATTTCACCTGTTTATTCATTTCAATGTTTTATCGAAAAATCCTGCACGAGTGATTTGTTCTTTTTTATAGCGATTTGTTTACGGAAATACCAGGACAACTTGGTTGCGGTAGGGTCGTCACACGTTTTGCATATTAAGCAACATAAAAAATGTGACACAAAAATAGTTTTAGTGCCATGTGACTTGGAGCCAATGCTCCTCTATGGACAGATATTTCAGTTGTCAGCTTAGCATACAAAAATTTACTACAAACAAATTTTCCACTCTTTGCCTAGCGACCAGCTTGGAACTCCAGTTTGTTATTTGTGGTTAAAGTGTCTTTGGCACGCGAATTCTACTTCCGCTATTGTTGTAAGTACATGTGAAGACACCGGAAACTATTAATTGAATGGCAACCTACAACGTCAGTTTTCATTAAAAACTTTTTAGTTGCATTTTTTGCGAAATAATAGCATTTTCAAATTTATTAGGAGGCGTTAAACTTTTACTCTTAAACAAGCAAAGATGAAGGAGGGCATATCTACAAAGAATTGCAATAATAATAGACTTACGGATTGTTCTATTAAAATTTTCATTTCAGAACTTCTAAAAACAATAAAAATATTTTTATTTTAAAATATTTTTCTTTCTCGAAACAATGTATTTTTAGAACACATACTTGTATAAAATACACTCCTACTATTCAGCGTTACTCAGTTCACTCATATCTAAAAGACTACATATTCACTGCAGCTAAAAAAGAAGTAATGCATTTAACATATACCTTACTAAAAAATTTTTACAGATAATCCAAGTTGTTGGCTTATTAATAACGCTCTGAATCAGAATTAAGTGGGATAATACATTTCAATCAGTTAAAGTGTGTCATGCGTCAGACTAAGGTCCCAACCCAAGGTAAATCTGCATTTCTTGAAAGATAGCGGAGTTTACTGAAAGTTGAAGAGCCTATTCTGTTGCATAAAGCAAATTTTGTAGCAAGAGCTGATAGTTTAATTAATTTTGGTATATACTTTTGACCTTGCCGTCACCAGGAAAAGATAGTAATCTCCAAGAATTATATCTGCATTAACTAAAACACAGTAAACTATATAATTTTCGAAATAAGTTGGTCGTTAATCATATTTGTATAGTATATAGTAAAGCATAGGAGCAATTGCAGGACACATTTTATTTCATGTCTACTGGTTGGAGAAAATACTCTGTAGCTATTATATCTGCATTAGCTGATATTCAAAGAAACAAATGTTTTTTGCAATATATTTGACGTGAATCCGTCTTTTACAATATAAATCGAAAAGGAGGACGCAAGACGTGTTTAATTTGTTAAGGATGACACTAATAGGCAAAACGAAAAGTAGTAGATTTTTAATTGGATTTTACTCGTCAAGTCAAAAATTTATATAAAAGTGACTGCTTAAAATGTTTCGTATATAATTAAAAATAATTATGAAATAAGTAATCGTTTTTTCTTATAAGTTTATCGTTTAATGTGTGTTAATATATCATAATGTATAATATATATACAAAATTTATATATGTACTGAGTGTAGTTTTCATGTTTTCTTATATTTTTGAATAGAACAAAAAAGTATCTTAAAGTTATAAACAAATAAAGGTAGACTTTATTTAAAACCTTAAGATTAGATGTTAAGTGGTTTGAAAACACTTTTAACAACTTTTGTTTTAATTGCTGCTCTTAAAATAGGCACTTAAGTGTTGTGTTCAAGCACTAATCCTATATCTCGACAATTTGATAAGTATCTATGGAACTACATTCGCTGCAATCGAGTAATGTTTGCAAATAACGCATATCGGTTTGAGTTAAATACTCAGCGGCATGCAATTGCAAAACAAAAACAACGAATTATGGGCAGCACGTTCTGTGCAGTTGTTGCATTCCGAAAGTTTAGTGCCTTGGGTGCACTTCAAAATTCATGTAACGGAATTTATGGAATTATACTGGAAACTATTTGAGTGCAGCACACAAATAATAAATTTAATTTTCAGAAGTTCATAAATGCCTACTTCCGTTTAACACGAGCGGCAGGCGCAATTGCCATATACGTCGCTTTCGTTACCGAAAACGACCACCTTGCGGAAATGCGGTCGGCAATATTCAATGAAAATATGGTATATGTAGAATTGATGGGTGAACAACATAAATATCTGGTAACTAGTTGTGCATGCAGAAGGTCTATGCTTCCTTAATACACACATATTCATAAGCCCATATCAGTTTGTAGTTGCAATGTTGCCGCACTCCCTTGGGAGACTCGTAGCAATCCAGTATTTTATTTGCATAGAGTTAATTTGAAAAAAGTATGAAGAATATTTTAATTACTTTGTATATACCGTACAAATATTGTATGATGTACTTTACAACAATCTGTGCCGTCACTTAACTTAATTGTCGGCAAGTATCTGGATGGAGTACACAGCAATGTGGCCTAATTCAATTTTAACTGAAATTGCTTTTACATTTACTTTTACTCTACCAAATTGCACTTACCACATTTCCATACAGTTTTCTAGTTCGTCTACCATTTAACTTAGCAATTAAAAGTTCTTAACACGTTTAAGACTAACGCTCTTACACATTTTCAGTGTTGTTGCGTTTGTATTTAATTGTCTACAAATAACGACTTAATTATATTTCAACCGTGTTTTTTTCCTAGTTCCTATTATACCCGAGTTCCTGTACGATATACGGCATCCGGATGCACCACTTGACAGTTTTCCGCGCACACCATTAACCCTAAACACACCGCCTCCACCAACGCAGTGTCCTTGCAACAGCGATGGCGATTTGTTGCCCACGGTGGAAGTATCAACATTATCCCCAGAGGGTATGTATACAGCACTAATGGGTTAATTAATTTTTTCTTCTTAATATTTTTTTTAATAATATTTACTAAATTTTCTTTATTGTAGAAAATGAAACCCTATATCGTGAGTTGGAGGAGCGTCACAATGAGTTGGTGGGTGAAACGGTGGAAGTTGGCATTTTATTTGCTTCTAAGGCCTTTGTGCAGTTACTAGTTAATCCAATTGTTGGACCTTTAACGCACAGGTAGTAAAATATATGTTTATAATACAAACTTCATAACTCAAATTTTAAACATTCGAAAAGTTTGAACTATTCGAATTCACTTCATATCGTAAACATTTGATACGGAACGATGAAGTCTAACCAAACTATATTAACTATTTCGTGAGAAATTGGATATTTGTATTCACAGAATTATCCATATAATTTTTAGAACTATACACTATTTTTAGAACTATAAGATCAATTAATATTATTGAATTTTTTTATTTTTTTTTTTCTCCAGAAATTTTTTACTAATTGCAAATAGTTATTTTTTTCTTATACAAAGAAAATAATAATACCTATATAACTTAAAAACCCATATATCCGTAATTCTTTTGTTATTATTACCCATTTTCGCAGACATTGTTTAATTGGAATGAAAATATTTTATATTAATTAAATTTATTGCCTTCAATAGGATTGGTTATAGTATTCCAATGTTTGCTGGTTTCGTAATTATGTTCTTGTCTACGCTGAGTAAGTAATATAATAAGTTTTTATATAAGTTTAAACATACACTAACATGTACCGTTTTTTTATTTTTGCTATAGTTTTTGCTTTTGGACGTTCCTATCTGGTACTTTTTATAGCGCGTGCATTGCAAGGTATTGGCTCATCGTGTTCGTCTGTGTCTGGTATGGGCATGCTTGCTGATCGCTACACAGATGATAAAGAGCGCGGGAATGCAATGGGCATTGCATTAGGCGGTTTGGCATTGGGTGTTCTTATTGGTCCACCATTTGGTGGGATAATGTATGAATTCATAGGCAAGTCTGCGCCATTTTTGGTGCTGTCTGCGCTGGCTTTAGGTGACGGTCTACTCCAATTGTTTATGTTGCAACCATCGATACAACATGCTGAATCGGAACCTCCTTCCTTAAAGGCACTAATTAGTGATCCATATATACTTATAGCTGCAGGTAAATATATAAACACACATTTACTTAAACAATAAATATGAGAATACAAAAATATCTTGAAACTATAACATAAGCATTGAATGGCATATCTCACAAAGTTAGTTTCTAGATTTTAAACTAAAATTGTGTAATTGAGACAGATTTTTATGAAACTGAACAATTGCTTAATCAGACTTGTGAATATAACAAATCTCTGAAAGATCTGAAAAATTTTTGTGTATTGAATTCTTGTGCAAATTCAATTTATTTTAAGCATATCTAAAGTTTACTTCTTATCTCTTTTTTTTAACAATAGGTGCCATAACTTTTGCTAATATGGGTATTGCTATGCTAGAACCATCTTTACCATTATGGATGGTAGATAATATGGGAGCGACACGTTGGGAGCAAGGTGTTGCATTTCTTCCCGCTTCAATAAGTTACTTAATTGGCACAAATCTGTTTGGTCCTTTGGGTCACAAAATAGGGCGTTGGTTCGCAGCTTGTTTGGGCTTGGTTATTATTGGTGGCTGTTTAATTATGGTAAGAAACTTTCATAATTATATTTTTTTATATTTTAAAATATTATATATATTTAAAAAGATTCCAACTGCAACTTCGATAACTCATCTAATTATACCAAATGCTGGACTTGGCTTTGCGATTGGTATGGTAGATTCGTCAATGATGCCGGAATTGGGTTATCTCGTTGACATACGACATTCGGCAGTTTATGGAAGCGTTTATGCTCTAGGTGATGTAGCGTTCTGCGTTGGTTTCGCTGTAGGTCCTGCACTAAGCGGTACGCTTGTTAAATCGATTGGTTTTGAATGGATGCTTTTCGGCATTGCCATAATATGTTTCTTATATGCGCCTCTACTTAGACTATTGAAGAATCCTCCCACTAAGGAAGAAAAGAAGGTTTGTAGCACTAATAGTGCTGATACAAATAATGGCAATGAAACAATTAATATGGCTGCAACTGAAACAACCTTTAAGCATGATGGCATGATGAATGCTGCTTTTGAAAGCGAACGGCTTTAATTTACTTTTTTTTGCTTTCATATGACATGACTATATTATTTATTTGTAGTATATTTTTAATGAATAAATACTTATACAGTTTTTATTACTTTTAGTTAGTAAATTGTATTTCTTTTAATTAGATCAAATAATATTATTTTTTATAAACTAGAGTTTTTAGTTAATTATGTAGAGTGTTAAGCTTTTATAAATAGCTAATGTAAAAAAAAGTTTCTTAATTAAAAATTGATTTTTGTAATATAATTATAATAATTATTATTGATTTATAATTTTTACACCAAATGCCAAAATATGTTTAAGAAATCTGTATAAAAATATTATAGTTACTTAACATTGATGCTTTTTTTCATACAAAATTATTTAGATTCCATAATGCCACGAACTATCTATTCTAAATTTTAACTACAAGTAGGGAAAGGAGTATTTTTACAATATGTTTAGCAAACCGATAACAGAAATATTTAAATTACTAACTCAATACAAATTATCATCAATTATATCGAACTAATTAAAAAAGTTTTATAAGCTGTTCATAATACAAGCCGCTAATTAATTCTTTACTTTAGTTCTAGTACGATACGATACGTACGATAGTGTTTATGATTATAGAATTCTTTATTAATATCATATCTTTTATCGATGAAATTAGTTCTAAATGCACTGAAACATTTAAATATATAAATCAAATTTATAGTCTTGATGTTGAACGGAATAGACATTATGTAGGATGCCACGGGTACGTCATAATTAAAATTGTTGTTGCTCTCAAAGCACATTAAAAAATTGTGAGTGAGAGAAAAAAAATATCGGTTTAAATTCGGTCAAGAGAACCAAGACTATATGTGCCTCGTCACTTAGTCAAAGCAGTGTTCTATGGATGTGTGTGTATATATTTCCTTTAAAATTTAGGCTGAACAAAAAAGTACAAAAGTAATAGTAAAAATACGAAATTGACAAACTGACGTGACACAAACTGTGATCCAATTTTGACATGCCCGTGACACTTTATATAACATGGGTCTAATCGGTTTTTCAAAAATTTACTTCCATTGTTTTCTCAAAATCCTCATTTCACTACTATTCGCTTTTCCTAAACACACCTCCTCCATTATAACAAAATTTCATAACTCTTTTTAACTCGTTTTCCTCCCTATTCACTCTTTCTCTTTTTTCTCTCTCTACATTCTTTAATTTACATCTGATATTTATTACTGCCGCCTGAAAGTAATAATTAAAATTTAATGTACCAATAAATGTTCTACATCTTAAATTTTTTTTATATGTATTATATATTTACATAAAATAAATTTTAAAAATAAAGTTTTAATTAAAATAAAGCAATTATTTTAATTTATTTATTTATAATAATACATCGCATGATTTGTTATCATAATTTTTTGTCTATATTCTTTCACATTAACAATATATATAAAATAATATATATCATATATATGTATATCAACTTAAATTTTATAAATCAATTAATTTTTCCGTTGCAGTCTCTTATAATTGGCGAACGGTCGGCGGTACGTTATGTTACTTATCAAAACTATGATGATGAGTAAGATATATTATATATAATTTTTATAATTTTAACTTGAATGAGTTTAAAAAAAAATCTTTCGAAATCAACCAAAATATCAAAAATATCATATGAAGTTTATTGTGTCCCAAAGTTTCTATAATACTAATAATATTATACAATATCAATATAAACATAAATTAAATATAAATTTTTGAAGGCAATATTTGCTATCAAACCACGGACTTGAGCCTACCAACATTTGAATCTCTAATAATTATATCCAATAATCAACAATAGAGACTATACATATATAAAATAAATACTTAAGTGTTGCTTAAACTATACTCAGATGATTGAAAAGGTAACAAAAATTGGGAACAATAAAATGCACATGTTATGATTATGCACTTTATCGTTAAACTAACTAACATTGTTGAAAATATTCTTAAAGTTATTTTCTTATATATACAAATTAAATATATATACATATATTAATTATTAATGATGAAAAAATTCTTTATTAAAAAAGTTTATATGGTATTATCAAAAATATATAATGTCGTAAAGGCAAGTGTTTAACAAAACACCAAAAACAAAAAAAAAATTATTTATTAAATAATAAAATTTTTATTTTTTATTTATATTTCAACTACTTTAATTGCTAAAGCTATAATTAAAATTTGTTTTGATTATCAGTAAAATAAATGATTGGAGTTACTTTAGTAAATTAGTCAACACATATTATTGATGTATGTTAGTTAAGTGCATTAAACTTGATTATTATGATATATAATCACTTTTTAATTTTTGTTATTTTCACTCTATGAACAATAAATGACCCACAACAAATTTTGTTATTTAAAAAATAATTTAATTATTTAACTGATTAGTTAATTATATATATATATTGCTTAATAATAACAAAAAGTTAGGAAATTGTTTTAATAAAATAAATTGAAACATATTAATGCGCTTTTCTACACCAAAGAATCGTCTTTTATGATTTTTTTATATTAGCTTAGCATGTTCAGATCTACTTTGATTTTATTAAAATAAACTCTAATTTCAAGTTAATTCATATACGATTATAAGATAAAAGATAAGATAAGACATAATTTCTATCCTTCTTCTTCTTATTGTTCAAGAACATCTCTAGCGATTTTTTTCTTGATAATTTAAATAGAAGCTCTCTTATTAAAGCTAAACTCAGTTCGCATAAATTATCACTGATTTATCAATATCACTAATTGAACTTATAAAAATTACTTTGATAATATATTTTTACCAAACATAAGGTCGTTTTGCCTAAATATATATTCGTATATTAATTATAATATGTTAATTCAATCACTTTTTATTTTACGTTTTAAATGTGAATTCGAAAAGAAAAGATCTCAGATATATCCTTTTAAATCCTAACCCTGTCCTTATACTGCTTGAAATAATCTTCAAACAGCAGAAGAGAGCGTTGATAATTATATTGAAAACATAATACATTGGCGATTCAGATAATATATCCAATTTTACTAAAGTAACTTCAAACGTTGTCCTAGTGATATATTTTTTTGAAAAATAAATTGTGTAATACTATATATTTATGCTATATTATATTACTAGTTTTTATTCAAAAATATTTAATTTATATAATATTAAAAGTTAGTGTTTACTTTTTTAAATTTATTGTTGTTGTTATTAGTGTTATTAAGGTATATATATTATATACTTACTCCCAGCAAAGATTGGTAACGTATGACATGGGAACTTAAATTGAAATGATTCAATATGAACTAAATAAAGAGCTGAGTCATTAAAAAGTTTATTTAAATAATTTAAATTAAATTTTTTTATTGCGGATTTAAAATTTTTCCAAATATATGAAACAGGGATTATTGATAAAAATGCAATTTATGGTAGATTTTAAACAGAAAAACAATATAAACCGGGCTTAGAGTAAAAGAGTTAGTAAGTATCCAGCAGCTCTATTTTTTAGCCTTAGCATGCATTCCCAGTCACCATAGCACATGGCTATAGCACACATAGCCATTAAAAAAAAATTTGCAAGATAATATTGAAGAGTTTGTTTAACTCATAATTTAATAAAAAAAACTCTTTAAAATTATCTAACAAATTCTATTTTAATGATCTCTTTGGTTTCCTCTTTTCTCTCTCTCTCTTCATTGACTTTAATTCAAGAATTTAAGAACCTTTTCAAACTCTCAGTAGTTTAAGTTTATCAGTGTACACATTGATATTAACATTAACTGGAGAATTAGATAGCTCACAATTGCTACGTATAATCAATGGAGAAGTGGTGCGTCGAAATGAGCACCCTTGGGATTGTGTCCTTTTTGGACAATTTGTGCTTACGCTTGGATTCTCATAATTGTAACGTAAGGATTGATGCTGCGATGTTCTTCTATTTACTGGCACAGGTTTCGATATTGTTTTCATTCTGCTGTCTTCGGATGTTTTGTTTACTGTTGTCTGCTTTAAACATGATTTTCTAGGCACATTAAGGGTTTCCAATAATGTCTTTGGCTTACGCTTAGGCGGCGCACTGCCATTTGCTGTTGCCGTACGCTTAATGATCGGTTTGTGTTGAGGCCTTGGACTTGTGGCCTCCTCTTCTAAAAAGCATGTGCGACAATCATTCACTTTTACTGGTATAAGTGCAGGTAAGCGCTCTTTCGATATGAATTTCTTGAGATCGGCTGGTAAAGGGCGTATCTCGGAATATTTTGGTGGATCTTGATCAAAATTTGGTGCTATTGGTTTGATCAAAGCTGCATGCAGGTATTCATTACTTGGTACACGTGCTGGTATGGAATAATTGGAAGCACGCTGATTAATGACCATACTATCTGTGGAATATGGTGTTGTCACAATTGTTGTCGGATTATTATATGTATGCACAATATTATCTTCTTGAAGTGTATTAAGTGTATTAGTTCTGTTACTTGTGGTGCTATTCATATTGTTATTTCTGTCAATATTCTCGTCAAAGTCACAGTCGTCATTTGTCTCTATATTAATTGTAAAATGTTCACCATCTGTATCGTTGTCTAAGTTTTTGATATTTATATTGATTTGACAACCAGAACGTGTTGGCGTATCATTCGTTTGATTCAACGGTGGATGCAAACATTGATTTCGTTCACTTATGGTTGAAGCCATATCCGCAGACGGTTGCAAATTACCACTAACAGACTTTGATCTAGAAACCCCTATATTACTTAACCCTAAATCATCAGGGAAACGTCTCTCATATAAGGATCGGCGACTCCTATTCGGGGATATACTTGAAAATGGATATCCAGATGTAGTAGCTCTTACATTTGAGGTAGAAGTTGCCAAGCGTTCATGTTGATTTATATTATGTCGACTCCGGGCACTGCGATCGTATATTGCATTTGCTCCCGTATTTGTTTGGGAAGGACTACGTAAATAGTCGCGATTGCATACACTACGTAAATATGGCGACGTTGTTGGCACGGAATTTACCGTGGAACTGTAATTATTTCTTCTGCTGTTTGATTGCTGATTGCTGCCTAAACGTGTTGAACTTTGTAAATAGTTAATATCATTACGACTTCCCATTGCTTGATAACTCCTATTGTGGATACTTGATTCAGTAAGACCATTGTTTAAAACTCTACTACTAGTTCCGTGCAATGGACAATTTATGTTTACCTTAGATTCCTGCAAGTACTTACGACGCCTACACTCGTGAAATTTATTTCTATCATTCTCTCTTTCTTGCGTCGACGGTGTGAATTTGTAATTCATGAAAAATGTTTGGAAGGAACTCTCAGCTCTACTTGTAGGAATTGGACGACTTACAAGGTTTTGTACAGGAAAAGCTGGGCGCTCAGCATAGTGAAAATTATATGATTGTATTTTGAAAGGGTCACGTTCAAACAAATCCTTAGTCTGGCGCTTAATTTGAAAACGCGGATCTGAATATTGACTATTGCCTATAGTAACTACATATATTTAGTAAATGATATATTATTTATAAGCAATCTATAGCCAACTATGTTTACTTACATATATTGCGACGCCGATTTAAACTCATGATTTTTAATTTAAAAAAATTGCTTATTTTTAATGAATTTCGAAAAGAAAATTCTTTCCGGAGACAAAAAATTTTGCTTTTTCTCCAAACAAAACTCTTTAATTTTAATCATCCAAAAAAGGTGTATCAAGAAAATAAATGAGAATGTTGTAATCAATAAATCACATAATGCAGTTGAAAGCAGAAATTTGAATTTTGAATTTATACAGAAAATTTTGAATATATTCAAAAAAGAAAGGAATTCTAAACTAAGTAAATTAAAATGACATTTGATTCATATTGAAATATTTTAAAATTTAAGTTTATAATAAAATGCATACGATATGTGGATTGCGGTAACAGCTGCAACCACTGAACCGTCTTTAATTGATCAATTCATTAAAAACTAAAACTTAATATTATAAACAAAATTAACAATTTAAAAAAAAATGTTATTAATAAATTGAAATATAATTATGAATATTTTTAGCAAATTTTAAAGCAATGTAAGAAGAGTTCGAGATAAATTCATTTTTATTAAAAGAAGAACAAAAATAAATATAATTATTTTTAAATAATTATTTTTTTAATTAATTTTTTTTTGCTATTAATCAATTAAAATTGTTATTTATTTATTAATTTCATTTAGTACAGAAAATAAAAATTTAAAAAAAAAAAACTATTTTAAATATTTTTTGCACAGGCTTTTATTAACTAGATATTTATTATAAATATTTATTATTATTATAAAATATTTATTATATTTATATTTATTTATAATTATTTTATTTAAATGTATCAATGAAACTAACAATTCTTATTTAAATATTTATATGAAGTATTAACGGTTATAATTTATTACACATATTTTTTTTTTAATTATATTTATTATTATTATTTTATTATATTATTATTATTATTTTATTATATGTTATTGTTATATATTATTATTTATTATTATATTATTATTTAATATATTTATTTAATTATTTTAATTATTTTTGTTTTTATTTTTTCATTACAACTTGGAAAAAAAAATTTAATATTTAAATATGAAATACTAAATAGTTAAAATGATTAATTGTTTAAAAATAAATTCCATGTTGTTTTGTATATTAACTATAATTAAAAGTATATATTCAACAAATATTATAGCGAAAATTTTGATCAAATTATAAATACAGAAATGCAAATAAAATTATAATATTTAAATATATATAAATATACAAATATTAAATCACAAATGTATAGAGCACAAATTCTTGATCTGACACATTAAGGGAACTAGTAGTGAGTAGCACAAGTTTTAGTAATAAATGCATACACATACATTACATTTAAAATAAAAATAATTTATATGTAGTGAAATTTGAAAAGAACTATAAATTAAAGAATTTATAAAAATCATATACAAAATGCTCGCACAAATTGTTGACAATGTTTTTTTATTTATATAATCTGTTTTTCGATAATTACAAGGCAAATTGGCCAGCCCAGGTGATTACCGCGAAAAATTTGAATGGCTGCAAATTTTTCTACGCGTTGTTCATTGAAATTGTAAAACCTATTTAACGTACCTGCATACTGTAGCTCATAATGCATCGCATTGTTACGGCTCTTTAGCAAGTACTGAGTGGATTATAGCAGATTTGCTATAAAATTAAACAATTTTTGCGTGCATTGAAGAAAATAAAAACATGCTAATGTAGGGTATAGCGTTTAATATATAATGAAGCAAATAACGTATATAATAGATCGTTTAAATACTATATAACAATATTATGTAGTGCTAAAATATATAAGTGAAAGTTGAAAAGCAAACATTTTGTAGTCGATCACAAGTATTTAAAAAGTTATAAGAATTTGTATATAAGCGTAGCTGAAATACTTGCTGATTTTTATGTGTGTTACTAGAGTATATATAGAGTTGCTATACAAGTCTTTACCTGTGCTATTTTTTTTAAGTTAATATGCATGCTTAAAGTTGCTATAAACTATAGAGAAATAAATAATTGAAATGATATTGTTAATTTATAATTTGCTTGAAGAATTGCAAAACGCAATCAACCTTAAAATAACTATAAACTTAAACAATATTTACAAAATTTTATCACCTAGTCATTGTTGCTATAAAATATATAGACTTATATAAAATTTTGTGCTTCGAATACTTACTAAAAGCATTGTACAGGGTAATCATATAAATTTTCCGGTTTTCAAGTTACTGTATGTAAATCTAAGTCAAAACTATAAACGACGGTTGACTAGTTCATTTTATAGCGGCTTCTTAAAATTTTTCGCTATGATCTAACTAGGTCACGCTGTTCATGTATAAATATATAGCCTAAGTTCTTGCTCATCCCAACATTTTATGAGTATTATTGTGTGAATTAGACAATATAAAAATATATATAAAATTAAAATTAATATTTTAATATAATATAAACTATAATGGTAGTTGCTATAAAGTATAAATATGCTTATTGCTGTAATCATAATTATTGTTACTGTATTATTATATTAAATTACATACATATACATACATAAATATATTTGGAATACTTGTAATTAAATTTTAACAGCTGGTATGGGGTCAAACAATATATATATATATATATATATAAATATATAAATAAATATTAAGTAATAAATGTTAATATATAATACAAAATTATTATAAAAAACTAAACTATTAATATATATGTATCTGATGTTTATGTTAATAAAATTATCCGGAAAATAAAAATAAATATTAACCGCAGGTTTTGTGCTATAATAATTAATCGAGTTGTATAAGTAGTTCTTACAGCAAGTTGGTGTAAAATATCTAAAGAAATTGATATTATATTATGTTTTCAAGCTCTTCGTGACCGTTATATTAATAAATTACTCAAACATTAACCAAAATTGTAATTGTATATTCACTTGTATCACATAAAATATATTTACTATAAAAATGTTAGAAAATTTGTGTGTGTCAGCTTAATTACTATATCATAGCACAAATATATGTACTATGCTTAAATCATTAAAAAAAAAACATTAAATAATACTATATAATATTTTAGCATATGAGCATTGCAGTCAAAACGTTGTAACACATAATAAACATATATAAAAATATTTTAACTTTAAATATAGGAAACATTTTAGAAAAATACAACTATTATAGCAAAATTTTATTTTAAGTTAGAATTCTGCTATTAAACATGTTTGATATTAAATTTATTAACTCAAATATTAATATTATATTAAAACTTACGAATACTTAAAAAATTGTTAAAATTATGAGAGAAACCATTATGCAAACATTATAGCTGAATTAAAATTATTATAGGAACAGTAAAAATAATATGTTAAAACTATGTAATAAGATATATGTAATAACATAATTTCATATTGTAATGATAATACTGATGTGACAAAGTTGTTGGTGAATAAAAACGAGCTACACTCAAAAAAAATGCATTTTTGATGAATCCCATTCGATCTCTTTTTTTCGATAGCTGTTAAATGCATTAAAAATAAATTATTATTAAATAAAAAATATTATATTTCACACAAATTGTTAGCAATAAAAATGTATATGATGACAGTTCCCTAGCCACCGCTGTTGTTTATAGCTTGTGCGAAAGCCTTTAACAACATACCTTTTGCTCAAAAAGTATCAGGATTTTGTTGTTTGTTAACTACTCCTTAAGTAAATAACCCTTTCTTGACATATGGTACAAATTTAAGCGCCATCTGTCAATTAGTTTCTTTATAACAGCTGTTAATATGAGACTACCTCAAGTGCATTTAGCTATTTTAACTATAGACAATTCTTGTTGTACGCGATTTTTTGACTAAACACGGCACCACTGTCATCGCTCAGGCATCATTTTCGCCAGATCTGGCGCCTTGCGACTTTTTCCTGTTCCGGAAACGCAAATTGTTCCTTCGTGGTAAGCGTCTTGAGTCGATTGAATAGGTAAAAGAGAATTCCCCAAAGGAACTAAAAGCCATACCTTTGGCTTTCGGGCCTACGAAAAGTGTATGGGAGATTGGGTTAAGCGTTGGCATTGAGCTTCAAAAGGACATATTTTGAAGGAGATAAAATAAACTTGGAATAAAATTTAAATTTGTGTGTTTTATTTACAAAATCCGGGTACTTTTTGAGGAACATACATTATTTGAATCAAGTTTTTGTGTAAAATCTAATAGACTTAAAGATATTTTTAATGGCTGATTAAATGGCTGTAGCCATGTATATTGATGTAATTATTATTATTGAAAAGAAGGGATCGACCTAAATGATCTATTGTGCTTCTTAGTCGGGTTAAAGTGTTTCTTCAAAACTGATTTCTTTAATGAAAGACAGTATAGAGCTTATCTTTCCTAGTCTTGTATCCTTATGATCCATGAAATACCCTCCTAGGTGTTTCTTCCACTTGTGCATCAGTACCGGGCACTCCCCAAACACATGATATGCAGTTCTCCCTCTTCTCTAAAGTATTTGTAGTCTGAGTTGGAGTGAATTCCTAACTTTGATAGATGATTATTCAATCTACAGTAACCGGTCAATAATCTCGCAATGTTGATTTAACTTTTTACGAAATTAATTTAATAAAATAGATAAATGAATATACAAGTTATATCCTCTTTTTTTCTATTAAACTCAATATTTTGGCTTATCAGATTTAGTTTTAAAATGACCGGTTTTTTAAAAAATTTTTATTCATATTTAAAATTTATAAAATCTGTAATTACATAATCTTAAGTGTAGACCCTTCTTTTTCCATTCGTGCTAAATTAATAATTTGCCAAATAAATTCTTTCATTTTTCTCAATATCATCTTTTCAATGACTACATAGGACAAACCTTCAGAATAACAATCGGCGGCATAGAAAAACAAGCATTTCTGAATAGTATTTAGGATTTCAAATGTGATGTTTCCGAATTCATTTTCTGGATTAATTTTTACTTTCGGTACTGGCTCTGGTTGTCCACGAATCATATACTTGGGTGGCAATTCAATAATAATACTTTCTGCCAATTCGGGTACTTCAGCCGGAGCAACTTTTTCGAAATCGACTGATTGGTTTTCAACTGTTATTCCAACAATTTGGTGTGGTTCATATACTTGAGATCCTTGAGGGTACTCTGACGAATCCTCTACTATCATATTTTCAAGCACTTGATGATAGTCGCCATTTAGAAGATAAAATGGAACTGTAGATTCTACAACATTCTTTAAAAACGCTATTAGGTAGTTTTTGTAAATTATATGAATACGAGATGTTATTTACTCACCACATTTTCCTCCAATCCAGTAGTTGGCAACTCACCAACCTGATACTTATTAAAACAATCTAAAAATATTATTTTTTTATGTATGCAAATAAAAAAAAGGAAATGAAGATGTTGCTAATATCGCATTTTATATAAATGGAAAAACACAATGACCTATTCGTATTACGGCATTCTACTACAGAAGCCTAAGAACTAACATGCATGATGAACATCTAAATATAGACCTCAAAGAAATAATTTTCCCTATCAAAGGTGCAAGTTGAATTTAAAGAAATGCTTTTTAAATCTTATCTAATCAAAATCATACCAACCAACTTCTGTATACGAGTTTGCTATGTACTCAAACAAGCGCATCAGAATGCAATAATTTTATTTTCGAGTTGATAATCTATAATCGGATGCGTTAACATGTGCTAGATAAGGCAGTAGTTCAGTTTCTCTGAAAAACACAACGCAGAAAAATTTCAGGAGAAATATCTTCGGGTAGTATTTGAAAATTTTATCACCATAAATTAGAGGGATATGGTGTAGAGGTAACATCCCCCAACATCCAAGTTCTTTGTTATGAGGAATTACCTCAAATACTGCAAAACAATGCGAAACCATATGACTCCTGGAAGAACAGTCACAATTATGGATGATTTAATGAGAAACAGACCTAGTGTGCTTGAGCTACAAACAATAGAAGTTGGATAGGTCATTTTTAGCATGACATATCAACATTTTTCTGATAAGAATTGTTTTTCTTTAAATAAATTTAAACCATAATAGTTTGAAAAACTTAATTTCACCTGTCAGTTTTTCACATTGCTAAATTTCAAAATGGCCGACCACCGAAAGTATTTAGACCATTTTTAACATTATTATCATATATTGTAACTAGCATATATATATTAGAAGAATTTGCTATTCTGTATAAAACTTAGCCATTGGAGCATGAATTTTATGAAATACGAAATGTGTCATATAAAATTATTCGTTTTAAATATTATAAATATTTTGAGGGATTTTAAATTCGATTCTGATTAATATATATTTATTATATATTTCTTTTCGGAAATAGATTCTAATAGCAGAAAATCTTCGTTATTAAAATTATAGATACAGTTTATAGAGTTAAGATATTATACCTACCGACACACTTGCAATCACCACAGCATGGTCTTCCTTTAGTGAAACAAACGCAATATTTCTTCTGGCACCTGGAACGTTTGCAATTGCAGAAATTTAATTGAGTTCCCTTGCCTTTACGCATTTTTAATTTTTTAAGTATTGCCGCCAACAGTCTCGAAACAGTTAATTCGTTCTGACTTGTGATTACTGACTGTACTTCGTGATATCTAAAAATACAGAGTTTCCACACCTAAAAGTTTTGTTTTATTATATTTGACTTACACAAAAACGAATATGATTTAACACGGGTTATGTGATATTTTTTTTAATATATGGTATTTATAATAGCAATAACATTATGTTCACACTTACAATTAATAAACCTAATTAGAATGGACATTGTATGAAATGTGGCACTTCTTATAAGTATCAACATTTATCGAATTAATTGCGATAAGCAAATATACTGTAACAGACTATAATTTAATTGAGTATTTCTGATTTCAAAGAATTTCATATATTGATAAAATATTTTTATTCAAGAAAAAATACTGTGTAAATACGTCACTAACTTGAATTTTGTTAGTTATGTTACAAAGTATGGCGTTTATACTTTGTAGAAATCAATTATTTTTCAAATCACTTTCCTGCAGCCAGCAAATTAATGCCATCCAAAACTTTGTAGGTGTTTGAATGTAAATAATTTTTTAATTCAGAATGATCATTTTATTTATGATTCGCTTATCTTATGGGAATCACCAATATTTGCTAAAGAGAAGTTTAAGTGTTACTCTTTAATACTATATTGACACTTAGATTAATGGAATCTCATTGCACATATTGCTACATATTTAACGAGTAAGTTCAGAAGTCTAAACATAGCATAATTTCTAAATTTAGCGAACACTGAGAAAAGAAAAAAAAACTCGAAACTCAAGCAGAGAAATTGCTCATTCCCTCTCGCTCTGAATGTTCTCTCTGAATGCCCAGCTTTGGTGTCCAGAAGATATAGGTTCTTGGGAATATACTTCTTGGATAGTTTATCAGACTGTTCATCGGTGAAGACGAAAGACCTATTAAATTACCTAAATTTGGCGGGATAAATTTAGTCTGTAACAAAACCGAGGAATGTGGTAACAAAACGGCGATAAATCGCAAATTGAGATACATGGAAGTTGCCACTGAACTGAGGAATGTGGTAACAAAACGGCGAAAAATCGCAAATTGAGATACATGGAAGTTATCTAATGGCCTGCCACTGCTACCAACCAATCAACCATGGTTCGCTTCCATATTTGTTCATTATTTGGACTTAAATTTCTTAATAGCGGTATTTAGACTTAGCACAGTTACTCGATATTCGCTTAAGTGACGATATGACAAACGTATGAACGGTCTTTCATACCCCTTTCTCTGTAAAGCTGTAAAATGAAATCATCAAAGCAGATGATTTTGTTTTTGTTTTGTTTTTTTTTGGGTATATAAAAGTAAGGAGATAACTTTGATTTAATGTTTTAATTGTAATATTTTTGATTCTATCAAACATTCAAATTTCAAATTAAATTTAAATTTTGTGAAATATTTCACAACAATAAAATTCAATGTACTCAATTGATACCAAGAAATTTTGATATCGAATATCGATAAAATAATCAGTCTTGATCCCTTGGTAATTCGTAACTCATTAACGTTGTAATTTCACGAAAACAAAAACACAACAGTTCTGTCACTTTACCGAGTTACCGAGCATATCTGAATACCCATAATGTAAATGATTAAAAAAAATTGTGCAATTTTTATCCATTTCTCCATTTACTTAACAAAATCAGTTCGGAAGATAATTATATATATATATAAATTCATTCACTTCTACTTCCTTTTTGTATTTGTCAAAGCTTCCATCTATAATTGCCATATTGAAGTTTTTTTATCAGTATTATTTCTATATTCTTTATATGGATATTATTTGGTTTTTTATATGGCAAATATAGCTAATCTCTTTACTCTTATGGAGATGAACCCGAACATTAGTAATGTACGATAGTCTAACCATACTATAAAGTACAGTTTACAGCTTATCAAAACTATTCAGAATGTATTCACTGCAATAGTGTGCAAAAATTAAAAAAAATACAAGTGTAGTGGGGAATGTACATGATATGTGCAATAGTGAATTTTTGTATTTAAATAATTCTTTAAATAATTACTTAAATTTGAATGAGATTCTATATCACTATATCATAGTAAATACATTAGAGGGTTGATATACGCTCCTGACGTGGGTGGCTGACAATAAATGTGCTTGCACCAAACCAATTTAATTGACGAAATTCGTTTTGGGTAAGATTTAAATGTAAAATAAGACGGCAGTAATTACTTTTTTATATAGTGAAAAATTTCTGATCCATTTTGAAAGGTTCATTTCCGTAATTAAAATACAACTCAATTTTACACGTACATACATGTTAAGCACTTTTGTTACGATTGCAATAACAATAAGAATATAGTGTAAGTAAATAATATTTATTTACAATATTTAAATTACAATATTAAGATAAATCAGTATATACAAAAGCTGTTAATGTAATTTTTAAAAATCTTATAAATAAATATTTAGTCGTAATATTGGTTTTTAACATAATAACAAAATATAACTTAAAAAATAAAATACAAATAATATTCATATTGTATAATCCTTTTAGAAAGGTTCATTTTTAAAAAAGCATGCTTTTTACTCTGCAATAAATTGATACAAATATACAATATTATATCAAAATAAAATGGCAGATATTAAAGAAACCCAAAATGATAATTAAAAGTAATTCTCTCAAAATATATCTTCTTGTAATATATACATTTTACTTAACCATTTATTACATAATTAAAGAACTTGTCATATAATATATAAATTATTGTTAAATTTTTACAAAATTGTTTATTAATATAAAATATATGTGCATAAACGCATGCATTTAATAATATTAACAGTTTGATTCGGTATCAAATTATTGTTGTTTCTTGGATGGGAAATTCCTTACTCTCATTAGCACAACGAAATTTTGTCCACCGTACGAAATATTTCGAACTTGCCACCTAATATTTGATGCGCAGTCCTCTTACGAGTACCATATTGTTCCAACGGGTATTCATCAAAACAACAGCTTATTCCTGCATATAACTGGAATCGTTATTGCGTATTGAGAAGTCAATAATCTCAACAAGACATCGGCCCATTTCTTCCATAATCAAACGTTCTGTTACAGTATCTGTCATGCCGTTTTTGATGCTTTCATCAGCCTGTGATAGCATACATTGTATGGTTGCGTCAACAACTTCTTGTGTAATGATATTACATTGTTGTTTAATTGGAGGTAAACCGTCACAGCTGTTGCTATTGCTCCCTGAATCAAGTTCGACACCATATCTTCTATCTCTTTTAGCATCCTTTTTATCTTGATCATCATGTATGCGTTTTCGACCAGAAATTTGATTATGAGTTTCGTTAATTTTTTGAAGCAACTTCGTATCAATAGGGTCCATATCTAAATCAGGCCGCTCTTCAATATTACGACAACCTATTTAATTTAATATAAAAAGTATTTAATAAGATATTTTTAAATGTACATATGTATAAATAAAAGCTGGAATAAAAATACTTACCCACACATTTGCAGTTAGATGAACATGAAATTTTTGCCTCATAACATTCACAGTAGTTCTTCAAACATCCCGATCGTTTACAATTGCAACCTTTATTATGTAAACGAGTGTCGCTTTGGTCTCGTGATGAGGTTATTTTTGGTCTAAAAATGAGAAACATTTTTAAATAACGAAAATAACGTAATTTCAAATAATTCTTTGCACTATACTCACTTAAAAGCACTTGGGTTGCGTTCTAAGCAACTTTTAATAGCTCGCTGTCGTTCGTCCTGATACTGAAGGTTATTAAAGCAATCTTTGCAAGTACAATCTTGGCAGAATTCTCCATTTGCAAAGCAATCGCAATATAATTTTAAACATTGCGACTTGCTGCAGTTACAATGCTTGCGTCTCACTACCCCATTATCTTCTAAAAATGGCTTTACATCTGCATCTTCCTTTATTTCCTGTTTTATTTTAAGTGTTGGCAACTTACTATGAGATAATATGTTATGCTTGTCCGCATCTTCCACTTTATGTTGCTGTAGTTGATGTTCTTCTGGTTCCAATTCTTCCTTTTTTACTTTAACAAATTGCATTAGTTTCTTGGACTGTACTAACTCAGAATCTTTAATAGGTAAAGCTTTATGCTGTTGCTGTTGTGCCATTATCGCTTTGGCCTGCCCGCAAATTATCAAAGATTTAACATCGGAATGCTGAGCATTGTTTTTCAAAACACTGAAAAGTTTTTTTTTCTGTACTTGACTCGGTGAACTATCAGCGCTTAGCACTCCTACACGTTGTATATATCCATGACGTTGTATTCCCGAAGTTCCTGGTCGCATTAAGGGGCGCGGCATTATAACTATATGTTTACCGCTCGCAATTGTCTTGATTTCCGGTTGATTTTTCTCATTCACTGAAGAAGTTATCTTATGTATTTCCGAATTAATTTGAGATATTTTGTTTTTACGCAAAAGGCTGAGGTTATCACCACCAACCGGTGTATATGAATGAAACTGTTTATTTAATACCATCGATGTATTAGCCACTTTTCTTTCCAATGCATTATTTTGTATAAGTGATTTCTGAAAAGCAGAATATATAGAATAAATTTACTATTTTTATTAAATTATTATATCACCTTTTAAAATAAATTTATTTCAAAAGATATATGTATATAGTAAATGCATCCGACAGTGCAAAATCGAGTTTAAAAGGAACGTAATTAAAATTATAGTACTTACCATTCCCAGACCTGAAGCTGAAATTGCTACTGGTAGTACGCCAGATTTTTTAGATGTTTGCGTTACAAAAAATTTTGTTGTATTGGGACGTAGAACAGTAAACTTCTGAGGTAAAGAGTTCAAAATTTTTATTGTAGGTGCCGTGGTGCTGGCCATTGTTGTTTTAGTACTCAATGCAGCCGAAGTACTACTAGTGTTAGAACTGCTAGAAACTAGTTTATCACCAACTGTAGAAGTTGTTATTGTTGTAGTTGTTGTAGCAATTGTTACTGCCGTCGTTGCTACAATTGTTGCGGCTGGAGGTGTTGCTATTATATTACCACTTGATGTGGTAGCTGTGTTGATTGTTGTAGTTCCATTAACACTCGCAGTTGATAAAGGCAAAACACGTGTTATTTTAGTAGGTAATTGTAATGTTTTTAAATTGTTCAAGTTAATTATTGTTGCCGCTTTGCCCTGTCCACCCACACTTGTTACCATTTTCGGTGACAATTTTATTAAATTTTGACTAGACACCATTATTTGTTTGCCTGTAGCACTATTTACCAATATTTTTCCAGCTGTACTTGTCATTGGTGCATTCTTCATTTTAAAAGCAGTTACATTGCTTATAGGAGTAACTGCTCCACTAGTATTTGGTTGCTTTTCAATTTTAACTATTTTTGTACCTTCATTTGAAGTGGTTGTAACGCCGGTTGTCGTGTTTGACGAAACAGAAATGGCGTTTTTCAATGGAGTTTTAATAATCATCTGACCAGATGACGTAGGGATAACTTTACTTGTCCCCAGTTTTGTCGCAATAGATGTGTTTAAAGATATAGGGTTTTTCTTCAATATCGAATTGGAGCTCGTCGTACTTGTCACTGTTGTTAAAGTTGGAATTGATGATTTAACAGGTAAAAACTTTCCAGATGACGTACGCACTACTTGTATGGAAAAGGTTTTACTAGGTGTGTTGTTCGATGGTGTTGTACTATTGGTAGTTGTGACGGTTGGAGTTGCCTTAGATATCGTATTTGGTAGTGAAATTTGCGTCTTCTGTGAAGGTGTTGAACCTGTTCTATTTAATGATGTTACTGGTGTCGCTGTCGATGTTGTTGAAGTTGTTACAGTTGTCGATACTGTTAAAGTTGCAGCTTTCGCTAACTTAACAGTTGAAGTCGGTGTTTGTAGACGTATGCCCGAAGTTTTTTGTATATAAAGTATTTGCCCATTCGCTGTTTTGACAGCAGTTTTTCCAACAGGTAATGTAAGAGGCGTGGACGATCCCAATGCTTTTGGAGATATCTTTATAATATGATTTGTAGTTGCAGTCGTACTTTTCGGTAGAATATTTTTAGCATTAAGTAATATTGGGGAATTGGTTATCTTATTGCTTGGAACAGTTGCTAGTTTGATTGCAGAATTTCCTGTAATGGTTTTGTTTGTCGACGTTAATCTATTACCACTATTCAAGCTTACAATTGATTTAACGAATTTGGCTGTAGTTGTTGTATGTGTGGTGTTTATAATTGTTGTTATTACTTTACTGGTCTCAACTTTATCAATTTTTGGTTTATCTGGTGTAATTAATATGTCATCCGCTTGTGTTGTTATGGGTACGATTTTTTCATGCCGTATTACATCTTTTGACTGTCTTTGATTTTTGATTTGTGGTATTGACTTCTTAGAGCCCGGAGTGTGTAAAGAATCATCTCCTGGGAGCTTTTTACTTTCCTCTATTGGACTATCCAATTGGTTATCAGGAATTTTCTTTATTGGCGATTCCTCAAGCAAATCCTCAAAGCTAATTTCAGGTAGAATGGGTGTATCATTTAAATTATCTGAAATACGTACACATAAATATAAGTAACATATAAAAAAAACATTAATTCGCAATTTAAAATATTTTCAATATGTTTAAAGCAATATAATATATATACCAAGACTTGCAATTGTACCTTTTTGGTGGTTTGCTTCGTTAAGTAATGACAGCGTTTTTCTATGCCGATTTAGGAATGTTTCATTGAAAGGAACACTCAATGACAGCAATAGAACACGTTAACGATGTGTATATCACCTTTAAGTGTTGGAACAATACTATTTTAACATAGATTTATTACTAAGTAATTTACTTAGTATGATGTAGAATAAATGAATTAAGAATGGAAAAAAAGAAATAGTTGTTACTAGTACCGCATAAAGATATCTTTATACATCGCTCATACATCGGTTGTATTATAACCAATCCTTAAACAGAAAATAATCCACTCTGAACTTAAGTCTATATAAAATTATTAGCAGCTAAGTAAAGAAATTTCATTCAAATATATCATAGGGTAATAAAGGAATATTCAATTCTTTATATAAATGAAATTAGAAGTCCAGCACAATATATTTATTTCTCATTTATAAAATCAAAATTATAAAACGCATAACTTTTCATCCAAATAAAGATAAACAAAATAGCAAAAAGTTTGAAATGAATTCAAATAAGTCCTGAGAAATTCTGACCAGCAACGACATTTTCAAATTCAGTTACAAAATCGATTTTAAATAAAAATAATATTCTATTATATAGTGGCGGCACAAAAATTTACACTATAAGTCATATAAAATTTAACATTTGAATACAATACTTTTTAAGCTTTTTATTTCTTACTTCAAGAGACCTCAATTAACATTTCTCGTTTCTTATTGTTTACATTTTGTATTGAATTAAAAATTTCAAAAGTACAATGTTAGAAATTAAGACATCCATAAACTAATTATATATGTATTAAAACTATATTTAAGTATTTTTAATTATAAAAGACAATTAAAAGGCAATATGTATCCTGCAAACAAGTTTTACTTTTTAGCGGCTTGTTTTTTCTCTCGTGCTTTCTTGCCTTCTGTCAGTTCTAAACGTTCACTTTCACTTAATGTTGCTAAAACTTTCGTCACAACTCCAGTGCCAAGTGTTAGATTACCATCACGTAATGTAAAACGTTGTCCTTGTTCTAACACCATAGGCCGTATTAAGCGTAAAATAAGTTTAGTATCTTCACCAGGCATAACCATTTCTTTATCGGGTATTTGGACTTGGACAGCACAATCCCATGTACGTGAGAACATTTGCAATTGAATGAAAGACATAAATGGTTTTGGTCTACCACCTTCTTCTTTAGATAATATGTACACTTGTGCCTCAAGTTGATCCAGTGCCTTCACGGTACCTGGTTTGCACATAACCATACCGCGCTTGATATCGTCACGTTTGACACCTCGAACTAATGCACCTAATTGATCACCGGCTTGAGCTTCCTCTAAAATTTGATGGAACATTTCAACCCCGGTTACAGTTGATTTTAGTACTTTATTGTAGCCAACAAATTCACATTCCATTCCCTTTTTAACAATTCCACGTTCCAAACGGCCTGTCACAACAGTTCCGCGTCCAGGAATAGAATAAACGTTTTCAACTGGTAAAAGGAATGGTTTATCTAATTCACGCACGGGTGTTGGTATAAATCTATCAACCTCAGCAAGTAATTTTATTATTGCTTCTGAACCAATTTCTGGTTTATTTCCTTCCAAAGCACATAACGCTGATCCTTTAACAATAGGAACGTTATCACCATCATAACCCATTTCAGACATAAGTTCACGTATTTCCATTTCTACTAAATCAACCATTTCTTGATCGGCTGCATCTACTTTATTTATAAATACGACAATATGATTTATACCAATCTGCTTTGCAAGCAACAAATGTTCTCTAGTCTGTGGCATAGCTCCGTCAGTAGCTGCTACCACCAAAATTGCACCGTCCATCTGTGCAGTACCTGTAATCATATTTTTTATGTAATCAGCATGACCAGGACAATCAGTATGACCATAGTGCCGATTCTCTGTCTGATATTCAATATGTGCTACATTAATGGTGATTCCACGTGCCTTTTCCTCAGGTGCATTATCAATTTCATTATACTTCTTGCTTTCTGCTAATTTCTTATCGGCTAAGACTTTTGTTATTGCTGCAGTTAATGTAGTTTTGCCATGATCAACATGACCAATTGTGCCTACATTACAATGCGGCTTTGTGCGTTCAAATACTTTTTTTTCGGCCGCATACTGACGCACGTATTGTTGAAGGGCCGGGGAAGGTGAGCTCAATGCAGGTTGACAATGGTAACAATGAAGTAAAGCGGCATAAGCACCTCGGTTACTGCGTATAATTCTCGCGGTATTCAATGCTCTGCGAGTTACAGAAGTTCCACTATTCCAATTATTCAAAATATTGCCGACTATGGCCGTTTGACGAACAGCTTTGAATGCAGACATCTTCGATTTTTTTGATAATGATGTTTAATTAACTAAAGAAATAATTTCCATAAAAACTCTAAACTTAATTTATTAAAATAACTTACATTATATTATTTATTTTATTTTAACAATCACACCTCGCAAAGAAAATATGTCAGTTGCGTAAAACTAACCCCAAAAGAAACATTTCCCTACCACTAAATGTCAGAGTAAAAAAATAAAAGCGCCCTCTAACTTTCAGATCTATTCAATTCTAAGTAATTTTACACTTTTTTTTAGAATTTTTTTATAATTAACAATGTAAAAATACTTTACTAAGCAAAATAAAGCATGTAATAAACATGTGTCTCTAAAATCGAAAAAAAACATTTGTAAAAACTTAAACATATTCACTTGCATTAATTGGATATGTTAATATTTATTTGATATTTTTTAAACATTTAAACGAAAATTATTATATCATATATTAATATTATTATTTTACCACCAATATAATTCAAATTGTAGTAATTTAAAATGAAATTGTTACGGATATGTATGCAAGCAAACACACAATCAGGAGGCGATGGTAAACATTTGAATGAAACATACATCGTGTAAAAGAAATCTGGAACTTAGCGCGAAATATGGCAGCCCAGTTTAAAATTTACTTTTCGATGGGATGTTTAAACTTTACGAGGCATCGATAAAATTTTGCATTCGAATATTATTGAACAAATTGGTTAAAATTTTTATTCTTATGAACTTATTAATATTGTAAACATATACTATTTATTTGTTTTCACACTCCATATTGAGCCCATAATGCTATACACATTGCAGCATTAGACTCTTACCAAAATACGAAAAACTTTAAATGTATGAGACAATTTATATAAATAATATTATTACTACAATTAATATGCATTTAATATGAAATTTGGTTTTAAACAATTTAATTTTCAACAGAATTCCTCTATATACGTTCAAAACTAATTCAAAAAATTGAAATTTATTTACTCATAAAAACTTACCTGGGGCTGCGTTAGTGTCCATTGTAACTTTTTATTGATTTTATTTTAAATTAATTGCACATATAATAATCGAATCCATAAACAACTTTTGATTAAAATTATTTAAAAGTATAGAACCACAACGCGGATAAAAGATTCAACCCGTGCTACAGTCAGCGAATCAGTTGAATAAGCTATACCACTTTCAATGTTGATTGCGATAAAAAATAAACTTTTTTCGCCACTAGTTCTCTTTAAGTTTTAAAAAGATAAAGTTTCACCTCTATTTTTATTACTAATTTTTCATTTTCTTTAATATTCAATTTAAATTTTCAAAAAAATTTTACTGCTGCGAATTTTACGAAGGAAATTTCTTTTATAATTTCGTTACTTGACGTTTGGTGTCATACATTGGGAAATTGGTTATATATATCCGCTAAAGGGAAATTTATTGAAACCATACATTGATGCATTTCAAGTGAAACTAAAAAAATTACTTATAAATAAAAAAATTTTTTTTTTATTGACATACGTTTTATTAAATATCAAATATAACATTATAACCAAATCAAATATGTCTTAAATATATATAGTATGTCTTAAATATATTTAGTATCAGTTTTAACATATAATATCAAAAAATCATTTATGAAAAGTAAACTACCATTTACTTGAAAGTAGAAATAACTTTTGGTAGTAAATTGATTTGTTATATGTATTATATGTATGACTCATATCCGTATAACTAGAGTTGTAATGTATATATACAACTCGTGTTATAACTTCTGCATAAACAATGACATTCCAACAAATTCAGAATTTTATATTGGAAATTATAGCATTACAAACTAACTTCTAGATAAAATCATGTTAACATATATTTTCAAAACTAAATTAATTTTTAGTAGGCATTCTGCTGCGCACAGGTCAAGTCTTAATCTAATTGATTAATATATAGCAAATATGTACAAATAATAATAATGTTACTTTCTATTTATTTTATTTTTCCATATTCAAAGATGAACGATACTAAGGTACTTAAAGAAACTGATAAATGGCTTATACACCATATAAATGTATAAATTTATCTGCTTGGTAAATAAACTCTTAAATTTTGTATGAAATATAGTTTACACAAACTTGATAATTTTACATTAAAATTTTACTGAATAAATTTATATCATAAATTGTGTGCCAATACAGAGTTGCATTACAAAACAAGCAAGTGATGTACCAAAATGTCTTTGTAAACATTTTTTAGTTTGGATATTTTGCTGAATTTAAGTATTTTATTTTATAATTTATTGATAGCGACACAAGTGATCAATAAAGTTTTCATAAATATTTAAAATTGCAAAGTTTTCATAAATATTAAAAATTGCAACGTTATTGGCTAAAAAATTGCGTTGCTAAGCAATGCATTCTGTACTGTCATAATTATTGCTGATATAAATATATATTTATTTTGATATATACATATTTATATACATATAACAATTAAGCATCAAAAATAATTTACACACATGAATAGAATTTTTAAAAAAATTATAGTTTATATTGCATTCAGGAGTATTGTAAATATTGCAACAACTTTCATGTTTTTAATACATGTATGAAAAACGTTTTGTCGTTAGAAATGCAACTCTAAAAATTTCCGCTTTCTTCATGTTTGGAAATAGGATATTTTATGAATTGCTATGGTTTAATTTGAGTACCTTATACAAAATTTTATTTATGAACTATAAGTACAGTTTTGCTTATTTCACATTTGTTTAACTAAAAGCAACCTAAACTTTAGAAAGTTTAATTTTAAAAAATATACTCTTTCTCTCCAAACGTAGGAGTTAATAAAATTTTACTTCGATAAATTCAATTAAACATGAACTAGGGAAGAATTTGTAACGTAGGGCTAATAAATTATTGCTAATAAATTTTTGTTTTGACTTAGTTTAATCGTTTTAATAAAAAAATTAAATATGGTATTTTAGCAACATCTTATATTTTACTAAACTTTTAAAATATTAACTAAATCTGCTTTAACCAACGTTCAAAAATGTATTGACGTTTAATAAAGCAAAGTATGAAATATGTTCTTAGGATTTAATTTGAAGAAAACGCCTTAGATTTTCTTAATCTACAATAACCCTTGATCTGCGTTTTAAAAATCATTATGAAGGTTTTATACCATTATATTGTACTATAAGCTATATTAAAATGTAGTGCTTTGTTCAGAATGTGACAAACAATTAGTCTAAAAATGGCGGGCACTGAAGATAAAGTTGATGTTATGTATAGTTTTTTCACTATAAAGTTTATGTTTATGTATAAACTTAGAATCTGTAGTACAGCAATTAGAATAAATTTAATAATTTCTAACAATTGTACCTGCAAATAACAGTTTAAGAATTTAGTTTGAAATTAATTACTGTTGCCATTTGGCACTTCTAATAAAATTGAATACAGCACTTAGGTTTCACGCCAGTGACTAATTTAGGTTTTCACACATTATAGATCTTATATCTCTTTTTTATATGAAGACGGACACATAAATAATACCATCTATTCTAATTAACATCTATAATTAGTTTCAAATTAAGTTTCGTATTTAAATATGCAAAACAAATCAATTCAAAACAATTATCAGTATTGAGCAAAATAAATCAAAATGTCGTTTTTATCAGATTTCCTAAAATAGGAAATTATTTTTTAGTGCAGGGTTGATATTATTAAGAATTATATTGGTACTATGTAGATGATATACGTAGCTCAAATCCATACCAAGATTTTATATATTACATCTGATGTAAATGCATTTACTATTATATTTACAGAGGTACCTAAAGTACTATTATTTTACATTAATTTTCTTTAATTAACAAAAATTGGAGTGAAGTTCGTTTCTAAATTAGAGAAATTTTTATTGCGTACAGTGCAGCAATCCATCAAAACAATTCTTTTTTTATTTGAATCTGAAGACGTCTGCAATATTACAACAAACATTGAGCTATGTACTAAAGCTGCATTGTAGCTATCTTTAAAATTTTTGTTTTCAATTAATTGCAGGAAAAATTTACGTAAAAGTTTAAATGTCAGGGTTGGAAAAATTAATTGGACTTATTATTTTTCTCATTACAACAAATTAATCGTATATGAATATACGTTGTTTTAACCCACCATACAACCGCTTTTATATTAACTAAATATTCTAATATAAAAAATTCATTTTCAATTTCAACATAAGCTAATGACAATTTTTATTAATATTTTAGAATTAACAAAGAAAATCGTGTAAAATATAATAGAACAACAAAAAATAAACTAAGGTATTATAATTTCAGATGATGGGCGCAATTTGATCGTACGGTTGCGTAATGTATACTCCCCTGGTGATTCTGAAAAGAACAATTATATTCAATTATTTTTAAATAAAAAGTTGCTATAAAATTGTACCATTTTCGTCTTTATCATTTTGATGTGTATCATGATCTCTATCAGCATTTCCATTATTATCATTTTTAGGCATATGTTTAAGAACTTTGATAGAATCATAGTCAGATTTTTGTTTATTGAAAATTTTGTCGGATGTGTCCATTTCATCATTAATAATAAATTTAAAATTTTTTATGCACAACTTTTCATTGAAATTCACATTTTTCGGTTTTCCCTTTGGTGTGCCGGGAGTTTTTAAAATAGATTTTCTTTCATTTATACGTTTCGACATTTGACTAGGAGTTGTCATTGCTAATATACTATTTTGACTCTTTCGTTCTGCACCCACAAGTGCAGTCTTCAACAAATTAGTATGTTCCATAAATGTTTCTTCCATAAGTGTTAAGCTACGCCTGTATTCGTTAATCGTTTCTACGTGTTTAGATAAATCCGATGGGGCATTACGATTAATTAAAGTTTTACGCGATGACGGTGTCATAGTAATAATCGTTGGTGTTTTTGAAAAGCTTTTCCTATCTCTTACCAGTACGGAAATACGTCTTGATGAGCTGCGACCTTGAGAACTAGGTGTACCACTACGAGAGTGACGTTTATGTGACGGTGTAAGCTCAATTCCATTTTGCAGAATATCAATTTTAGTATCTTTTGCATTATTTCGCCTTTCTGCGTGTATTTTTCGTAGCATTTCTTGTAGCGCTGAGCTAGGCTTCGCTTTAAATGCTGTTTTAGCTTTTGGTTTAACTTTTTTCTTTTTCTCATTTACTTTAACAATTACGTCTGGATCAGACCAATTGTTATCCCGCCAATGATTTAAACTGTCAAACCGTTTATCTACATTATCGATCTAAGAATAAAAAAATTTATCAATATACATAATCAAGTAAAGACTGCCAAGACTAAGAAAAATATAGTAACATTTATAATATAATAGAAACTTATTAATAACTCATACTCTTCGGAAGACTGAACTCTGTTATCTATAGCATTAAAGTTATAGCAGTCAAAATTCTATCTCTAGGCTGGCTCAAATAGCAGAATTTTCCACGCACTGGGTTTATGTCATTCTTTCTTCCAAGAAGGTGCACAATATAGTGGTCTGCATTCCAGTGAACCTTGGCAAAGAGTAAAAAGGCTTAGATATCTATATCTACAATATAGTCAATCGTCAACAAATCATATTTCTCTTATAAGTTTTCTTACAGGGTCTTGTTGGACTGATTTGACATGCTACAGCAATTTGTGAATAAAAACAATCAAACTTACTAAGACTAGACCAGCTACTCAATTCAGTAAATCGGATTCTTAATGTGGATAAAGTTGGGATAAAGTCTCTAATAAAAAGGTAGAAATAAAGCAGTCGCCATTAACGTGACACTTCACTTAAACCACCAGGCTAAAGAGGTGTTTCGTTATTGCAAATACGATAACGAAAACCATACCCCCTTAGTAGAACGAACACCTGATGCTATTGTCAAGATCTGCGCTGCCGCATTAGTAAGATGAGTCTGTTTAAGGACACTAAATGCTTCTAGTAATATTCTTTGTGACTGTGTAGCTTTAATCTGCGCTAGGTGAAAAATTCTATTTAATGTTGTGCAATATTATTTCATTATTGTTCTCATATGCCAATGTATATGGGCTATTCTTAGTGCAGATGGAGTCTTATTTGTTTTGATTGTGCTTTTTTAAAAGAGGCATTGCAAATTCTATGAAATTTATTGTCAAAAGTGCTGAATAAAATATACATTGTCAATTTATTATTACTTTTACATATGAGACTAACCTGTAAGCCAAGCATCGACCAAAAGCCTTCTAAATCTACATCCGTCACAGGCTTAGTATCCTCGCTTCCATCGTCAACCACATCTTTTTTATTTGCTCCACTTTCACAACGCTCAATAAGTCCTTTGAATTGCATAAACTTTTTACTAGTTAAAAGTCTCGTTTGTCCTATAGTAGCATTAATCATATCATCACCCCCCGTATTTTGTAATTGTTGTAAATTTTCGTTTTTATATTTTTCCCAATTTTCGCAAAGGCTATCAAGGCGTTCAATTTCATTGCTTAATTGTTCGCGGAAATAACTTACTGCAGCAACGATGCGACGTGTTTCGATCGAAAGACTTGCTTTAGTTATATCTGCATTGCCATTTGTCTTAACGCAATCAGTCTCACTGTTTAGATAAATGCTGTTGCGTTTTTCTTTTTCCTTTATTAAACTAACTTTTCCTCTCGAAACACTTACAAATGGGCTCAAATAACTAATTGGTTTCTCCTCAATTTCAGGTGGAGTTTTAAGCTTATCATCGTCTTCATTAAACTTATTGATTGATTTCAATGTTTTATCTGTAATTATAAAATATATTTCATTAGTTGAAACCAAAGAAAATCTAAAATTATACCCTTCACTATTGCGGCATTTTGGTTTAATGGAATATCCATTGAACCATGAGAACCTTCTATTACTGAATATCGCAAAAAGTTGAACTTTTTTGAATTGAATGTAAGTGCACGCTTCGCTGAGTTATCAGATGAAGGTTTTTGTATTTCTTGCGTTTCTAATGGTTTAACAGGACTTACTGCATTATTTATATCCTCAACTGCATTGGTTAACGGCGACTTCAACTTAGTCGATGTTACAAATGCTTCAAACGGATTGAAATTACCTATTTCAAATGGGGTTTTCAATACAGGTTGCTGCAATTCCTGGTCACTTAAATAGTTAAAAGCTTTCTTTTTATTCATCTGTGGCAATTTATTAATTTTCTTCGACTTAAGATTCCTAGACAAATGTGTAGCTTTATGGCTTTCTTTAATGTTATTTTCTTGCTTAGTCTGCAGTTCTTTTATTTTGCCTATAGCGCCTCTTTGCAGAGCAGTATTAGTTGGTTTCGAATTTACCTTTCCTGTTGGTTTATTAAAAGCTCCCTTATCCTGTTTAGCTTTTAAAGTACTTATATTTGACACGCCAGTCTTAGCCTTATTCAGTTTTGCATTATCAACCACTGCTGTTAAATTGGGTGCAACCATTTTAGGCTTATCTTGCTTATTATTAAGTTTTTCAGATATTTTTTTTGTTGATATTGCTTTGTGGTGCGTTGTTTGTGAAAACGCCAAAGTCTGCGGTTTGGCAGATGAATTTGTATCGCTTTTTATTCCACCGCGAACAGACGTAACAGCTGCCTTTTCAGTTATATTTTTTGTGATAGTTGATTTTCGCAGTTGTGTTGCTGATTTGATTCCTGCTGCATCGATCTTTGTTGTATTATAAGAAATATTGGTTTTTCTTTCAGGACAGTTTAGTTTATTTCGCAAAACTTCTGACGTTAAACTAGAAATTGGTCTTTTGTTTAAATTATCTCCACTTAAGTTATTGTTTTTTCTAGGCGGTGTTGGAACAACTGTGTAAATAGATTGCCGAGTCTTTCTATCTTCTTGATTTAATTTATGCTCTGAAGTAACTGGACTTTTAATTCCTGCAGGTGGTTTAAATTGATAGTTTTTTGGCATTGCACTTTCTACTGAACTTTTTGCACTCTTTATGGGTTTTGTATGGGCGCCTGCCGGCACGAATGGTTTAGTTATATTTTTTCGTTCTTGTTCTTTACTTTTCTTTTCATTTTTCCAAGCTATATATCTATTAAGAAAATTTTGTCGTCGTGAATTCTTTTCAGATGCAGACGCTTCACCAACAGTACCAGTTAGAGATTTTGTCCCATTACCGCTGGTTGCTTGGTTCTCCTTATTTTGCTTCGTTTGTTTTATGTTAAGCTCTTTTTCATCAAAAGCATTTTGGCGCTGGATTTTAACCATTTTTGCACAATTTATTTCTGCTTTTTCAGGTTTCGGTTTCTCAATACACGTTTGTAAATCATTTTTTAAATCCAAATTTATTTGTTTGTCAGCGTTTCGTGCCGGCAAGCAATCAATTCCGCCACAAAGTTCACTGGATTCATTTTTATTACTTTTAGAATTAGTGTGATTATTTAAATCGCTCCTGCTAATGCCATTAGATGGTAACTCGTTCTTTATGCCCTCCTTTTTAGGCGATGGACTTACTGATATATTTCGGCAACTTAAATAATTTTGCATGCGTTTTTCTGCTCGATTGGTATTACTTATATTTCTATTTATTTTGCTAAAATTTCTAGGGCTTAATAGACCATTATTTAGGTCTTTGTAGAGAGATCTATGACGTTCCATCGAATAAAGTTAGTCTAAGTAAATTAAAAACGATATTCAAAGGCGCGAACAAACTGTAATACCGAACTGTTAAACAAAAACTGAAAAATAAATTCAAATGCCGCTATGGGTATTTATTGCGTTAGAAGGAAAATTTTTTAAATCCAGGGACGTATTAAGAAAAAATGATGGTTGATAATTTCCTACTAAAACATATAATTCACTATGTTAATTATTTTAAAGAAAAACAATATTATTTTTTTGACAATTCTTTAATTTTAAAGTTTAATAATTAAAATAACTCTGTTTTTAAAAAAAAAATATTAATTGTGCCACTAATAATGTAGTAAAGGAATATTTAAAAATGTGTACCATGTAAAACATATCTTTTATTGCAAACCGCCAAAAAGTACAATTAATTTGTTGCGGTACAGTACAACATCATACGGTACACTTCGATATAGCTTGTTTTCACTTCAAGTTACGTGATTTATAAAACTTACGTAATTTGTGCGTAAAAAACTGTGTTTACACTTTAACTTCAAGACTTTAGTGTATACCGAAATTAATAAACAATTTTTTTGAAATACAAATCATAAAGATTTATTGTCATTTTTATTTAGAGTTAATTTTCTTAAAGTAAATATAACATAAATTGATGAAATATTCGCTCTAATATTTTTGTTTTTAAATTTTTTTAATTAAATCGATATATGTCATATTGGAATTCGGGACAGAATTTACTAAGAAATAGACTTAGAACCTTAATAGGTTCTTATCTTACATATCTTTAAACTGATTTTGTATAGCAAATGTGATTTAATCTCACATGTTTGTTAAAACAAAATATTGAACACTGATGTTCAGTATAACAATATATAGTGTTCCTTACTGCTGGTGGGTGCAAACACTATATAATTCATGAGGCATTGATTATAAGTGAATAACTGATTATAGTGCAAGATATTCAATAATTACTTAAATTAATTTATTATTTAATTAATTTTATTATTAATTTTATTATTTAATATTTAAACTGCTTACTAAGCAGTGAGTGCGAGCGAACATTAATTTATGACATAATTCTTAATTTTTTGTTGATTCGTCAACAAATATGTTAAGTACAATAGTGTAAACATACAATTAAACGTTAGTACAAGTTCATAACACCTATCACTTTTTCTATTTTTTCCTTAAACAAAACACTTCCATTTACACATTTCTTTGTTTATAGTTTTAGATCAGTAAAAAAGCTGCAAATGCACTCGTTTTTATTTTTTCAAAGAAATAGGGCTTTGTAGACCAATATTCAGGTACTTGTAGGTAAATCTATGTAGACGCATTATTAGAAAATTATTATCAATGAATAAATTCAAACATGCAAACAATATGGGGAAAATAATAGGCCTACTAAATAATCCTATTGTGATTATTCATATATTGGAAGTATAATTTTTTAAATCAGATATGTAATTAACAAAAATATTTTTATATGGATACATACAATGGAATAAATACATTACGTTAATGATATGAATGATCGATAGAATTTTTTTAACAAAACTTTAGTTTTAAAAACAAGTTGGTTGATATCATAATAATTTTGATATTCGATATATATATCGAAAGAATAATGAACAAATGTGGTATCTATTGGTCACAGCGTGGGCATAAGAAAGTTCGCATGTTATATAAAAATATATCAGAATTCATAACCTTTTTCTATATAATAGGTGTGTTCCAAGAGCTACTCATGGTAACTTTGAGTAATACTGTATATACAGAAGTGCAAATTTACGAGCAGATGAGAGCATCTGAGAGAGAGTAATATCCCAGCGAAGTTTGAAAATGTTACATAGATTTTACTCGTACATTTTAGATCTGTTCAGTGAGTTACTTGTAGTAAAACATAAGTAAAGTACAAACTAAAAGCGTAACACAAATAAAGTGTCAAATTTCGCTCTTTACACAGATTTTCATGGAACAGCTCGTGTAATAGACCTAGTTATTTTTGATAAATTATTTGATTTTATTAATATTTAAAAAATTTAAGAAAAGTTATTGAAAAACAATTTTTATAAATTTGTATATATATATTTGTTTTACAGTTTTACTAAGGCAAGATTTAAATGTGCTATTATATAATAAAGAGAATTCTAAACGTTGTATATATACTTTTTTCGCTAGAATTTAGACTCATTTAGACTCATGATATTTAAAGTAGAAACAAACTATGAGAATGGGAAGCTGGAAGAAATATTTTTGGTAACAAATTATATGCCGCCATGTTTATGTCATTAAGGAAAATCTTATTCAAATTTGGGAAAAAAATTTTGGGAACATAATTTTTTTCCAAGTAAAGAATTCTGAATTGAGCAATAAATTTTAAGGATATGTATTAATTGAAATCTTATATTAATATTAATTTTGTTTGATTTTTTCCCAATTTTTATTACTATCATAATAATTTTTGTATTTGCACTAATGAATATCTATGTATTTATGTTTCTTGTAGTGAAATTATTTGCTTTTAAAATAAACAATAAATTTAAGGCAGTCAAAATTTGATCTTTACCATTTTCCTATTGACTGGACTAAGATTTTCTAGAAATGGCTTATTCTGACTTTTAGTCATATCAATATATATTTTACACACAGAATTGACATGTAACTCCATATTAATTTTTATGAAACAAAAGTTTGTGGCGTAATGTAATTTTATTTTTCATTTAAAACAATGTTTAAGCACACAAATAACAAAACAAAACAATTTTATATGGAATTTATAGAAAAACTGATATTATCCATTATGGAGTTAATTACGAAAGTGTAAACTTAATGTTATGTCGTTTTCGTAATTCGCCTATGCCATTTAGAAACTTCAAAAATACATACGTAAATAAAATTTTTTTGCAACATTGGTAAATTTCCTCAAAGCAGTAGTGTATTATTATGATAGATGGCAACACTCATCATTTCCATTTCAAAGAAACAACGAAGCATTATATTTGTTTTACGTCTGATTTTTATATTAAAATTGTGTAGATCTGTAGTGTAGTGCGAAAATGAAAATAAATTCATCTTCACATTGGTGGCAAAAGAAAAAATCTTGATTTTTTCAGTTTTAACACCAGAAAAGGTAATTCTTAAAAAAGGCAATAAATAAAAATTGACTTCATAATTTGTACATATTTTACATAGCATCTCTATGTTGCTTATACATATACGCATACATATGTACAGAGTTGCACAGTAAAGATAGTGTGAGACAAAATGTTCGATTACATGAACATGTTCATATATACATATATCCCTTGAGGGAAATTTTGATGAAAATTTCATGTTGGTAAGTCTCAGTAACTCCATAGCAACTTAAATTGTACATTCAAGTTAAATGGACATAAAACCTCGTAAGTCAAAGACATAGAGCGCAAGTAGTCCACAGGCAGAAAAATTTAGTTTTAAATTTAAACAAATTACTCGAAAATGTATCTGTGATCAGTGAGCAATAAAACTTTACATTAAAATTTGTTATAATTTGTGGTAAAGTGTGCATATGTATATATATGTAATTTATTTTAAATATTAAGTTTAAAAAAATATTGTGATTGAAAAGTAATTCCTTTCATTATAAACACCCCCCGCATGTCGATCTCTTTCATAATATTTATTAAACAAAATTTAATTCATTTTGATTTGGTTTGATTTGTTTTAATAAAATATTATAAATATTTTGTTTATTAAAAGAAAAGTAATTAATATTGCATAATGTTTACAGATTATTTTTGATAATTTTAAAATTTGATTACAACTAAATAAAACACATTGTCATTACGGGGTTTGCAACATGGTATCCACACGTCAAATGGCAACCAGCGGCAATGGCGCTCAACAACAACAAAACAATCAGGCCGCCAACAATACCGTCGATGAAACTGTTCGACTTTTCTATGTTACGCGCCAGGCATCAAGCTCCAATTATTTACTCCTCAATACCTCTATGATAGGAAGTCCATCCTTACGTACTATCAGTCATTCTATAACTCGTAACTCAACTAATCGTAGAGATTCGGATGACGATGACAAGCCAAGCTGCAGTAGACCTAAAGTTAGTTCAAGTAATAATGGCAAAAATTTACTTGACTTGCCACAAGAAGTCTTGGAACATATTTTGTCATATGTGAGCTACAAAAATGTTGGGCAGTTAAGATCAGTAAGTAAATAAACTAAGTAAGAAACACATATAACTATTAATTATATATATTAAATGCGAATATTGTATTTAGTTAGTTTTATTTCTAAATCGGGCTAATTTAAGGCAAAAAACGGCGAGAGCCTATTGACAACTTTAGTTTTTGCATTTTAAATAAAATTATTATATAGCAGAATACATCTTCGCCTGTGAGGAATAATCTATATGAACTAACAAACATTACTAGCAAATCACTTGTCTCAAACTTTTTCGATTTTGATCGGGTCTTACTTTAACCAATAAAACACTAAGTGTTAGCATCAAATCGAATTAGGACGAACTAACATTTTTTGTTATTTATATAGTACTAAATCTTTGTGGATGATACATGATGTTTCCGGAAAGAATCCCGCAGATAAGGGACAACGTGAAAATATATTTTAAAAAATTCGGTGGTTTTATATTCATGCAATAACTTGCAATCCGGCAGTGAAAATTCCTCGGAAAAAAGGTGAATTCGCTACAAATCAAATCAGTAATGAGAAGGATGATGTGGAATAAGTAACGAAATTCATTTACATCATATCAAAGTTAAATATGTTGCTATTTTATTCCGTTGTTTGTTTAAGGATGGAGAATTAATTACATTTGATAACTAAATACTTAGCAACTGAACTTATGGTGATCTCATATGGCTGAGCAAATCTTCTGTTTTCGAATTGCTCTTTTTAATGATATGTTAGATAAAAACCTATTAAGATTAGCATTGCAATAAAACCATTGAAACTTTGTATATGATGCCCTTTGCTAGTTTTAAGGCTAACCGAATGAATGCATTTTTAATGTAGACTCTCCAAGAATTGTAGAATATATAACAGTGTATAATGAAATTTACATAATATTGATATTGAAAATTTAAGACATTATTAATCTAATTATGCATTTTGTTCTTGATTTAATAGGTGTCTCATCAAATGAATAACGTGTGCATGAATATTCTGAATTCAACTTTCAACAAACAAATCACT